GAATGGCAAGAATGCAAAAAATAACAAAAAAATTAACAGATCTTCAGAGAAACACTTCATCTATCAAAAAATCGTTATGTTTCTTAAATTTCTTGTATTGTATTCTACTCTTTCTTCTCACCAAATATACGTGGAAGTCTGATTTATGGGAAAACTCAGACATTACGGGCAATACCATCGCTGCTGGACTTTCACAAACTTTTCGCGAAGCTTCTGGTCAGCGCTGCCCTTTGGATTTTGAAGGCCTGTACAAAAATATGGAGTGAAATTTTGTAAGTAAAAGTTTTTAAAGTCTGATGAGTGCGATTTCTCAAAGAATAGTCAGGATGCCAATAATGAATCCACTCTCTAGTTAGATTTTTTTATTAAACTTACTCTAAGCAAAGATAAACTCTTGTCAAAAGATAAAAATGAATTATTTCAATTTTATTCGCAGTAGTAAATATTTCAAATGACTGAATATGCTTTGAGTAATTTTTATGTTGTTTACTGCCGTTAATTTATTTTTAATATAGGCAACAACAATTTATTATTTATTTTCTGTCTAATGTTTTGTAGAAGGTGAGGGCTTGGAAATGCAGGAAATAAATTTGGCTATATTTTATAACCTACTAACACTTTCTGATCTAAGCATAAAGTAGCTGGGTGAGTTGCCCATTAGTCTCCGCCCACACGCTCGATTGAAACACACCTCTTCTGATACGAGTTTAACATATCGCTCAACTGTCTGTGTTTAACACGGAAAAGTTCCATTCAGATACTTATCCAGACCAAATAGGGAGAATGATTTCATCATCAATTATGTTTCGCAACAGCAGGGAAGGACTTAAACCGCAAGCATCGATTTGAATAATTTCCATATACTACGTAGTTTAAAAATTGAGTTTGGGCATCATGAAATTTCTGATCGTTTTTCTCCTTTCTACAGATTGCCTCGCATTTTAAATTTGCCTAATGCCCAGTTCTCTCATGTGTTTTCTCTCATCTAGTGTCATGATCAGAATCATATATTCAGCATGGCCAAAAGAACACATTGCATTCGTTTACAGGTTCAATAGATTTAAGTAAATTTTCAGAAAAATAAAAAGTTATGTTAATTCCTTTAAACACCAGCTTTTGGCCCTGTGAACCTTTCCCTGGTTTTAATATTTAACAGCTGTGCCATAGAAGACTTCAAAAAACTTATTTATTTTCACTGAAGTAAACCACCAAGTACTTTGCATGTTGTTGTTAACCACATGGTTAACAATATTTCTCACCACCCATTTGCTATAATCGCGAATAACCAGAATTTCAATAACTTTGTCCATTTTATGTCAAATGGAATACCTGGAAGATACCATTGATCCTTATTGAGTGCTTTTTCATCAACATTTGGATTAGGTACGTAATTTCTTGGGTTTTCCACAAATCAAACTTCCACGCATCATTTGGTGAGAAGAAAGAGTTAATTGCCAAGCAAGATATTTAAGAGACATAACGATATTTTAATAGATGAAGTGTTTCTTTAAAGGTTTGTTAATTTTTATAAGTATTTTCTGCATTCTTGTTATTTGTTCTTAAGTAACAAATAATATTATAATTTTGGAGAGCTTTTCTTTGCATTGTGTTACAATAAACAAAGAAAATAAATGAAGTTGATATTTTTTAGACATAAATAACTTTTTGTTATGGAGATACATCGATCTGTTGCAATTCAACGACAAAATGATGTAAGAATATTGTATTGAGGGTTAGAAACTAAATATTGCATATTGAAGTAATTTCGTTTATTTTGGAGAAGCATTGGAGTGAACGTGCCACCAGAAATTCTAGACTGATTTTGATGAAATAAATTTTATTACTCTAAAGAATATCAGTACTTAACAGCTAATTCTATAATAAACAGATAGAGAAAATTTTTAAAAATTAAAAATTATTAAAAAACTGTCGACTTTCGAGAATTTTGACGATTTTCAAGTCCATTGCGGGAACGGAAAGTATCAATCAATTTCCTTACTTTTTTCCTCATTTAATTTCTCACCAATTCACAAATTTTCGGCGGCTTAGCGACATGGAAAAAAATTGAGTTTTTTCGACCGACCCTAATATACAGTGAAGCATAACATCATACGCTGACATATATAAACACTTTTCGACAAATTTCATGAAAGTCTACAAAATTCCGTCTGCTTCCTTCAACGTAACTTCCCTCCTCTCTCTCCTCTTCCTCATCATCTCCTCTCTTTACCAGTACATGCTCGACTATTCCATCGTCACCAAGAGAGAGTGTGAAGGGGGAACAATTGCCTACATCCACTCAAGCCTAACTAATCCATTACATAATTTTTTTATTTCATAGGCCTAAATACTGGATATAAATTTATACCGAAAAAGTGCTGTTATTTTCATATTGTTGGTTAATTAAATGAGTGCAGGTTACGAGAGATTTTACTGTATTCCTACAAACAGAAGAAAATAAAATAATAAAGGAGTAAAGGTAGCGAGCTACAATAAAAGTGTGGAAATCAGATTCAATTTTATAATATTCGCTTCACAACAATATTTGCGACATCCTATTTCAAACTATGACTCAAATATGGCTAACGTCTCTAAATAAGTTCGACTAAAATGGAGAAAGTCATTTCCAAGTTCTAACTTGCGAGTTCCGTTGCTTTATAAAAAGATTTTTCAGATAATACTGGATAATTGCTGTGATTTCCTCATGTCACCGGTTGAGAATGCTGAGTCAATAAACAGAGAGGATCCAAAAAAGAGATTTGGAAAAATTCAACATGTATACATATTCAGATCTACCATGCTAAAAAGAAAAGTGATACCAGTATGCAATGTCTGGATGTTTTCTCATTGGAATCTTTGAGGTCCAATCCAGCATGAAATTTGGCTGTGGACTATCTTCATTCATATAATACTTTTCAGCGCTGATGAAAACGAATCTCTAGTAGTAAGTATAATTACTCCTGAATTTCACCTGTGAAATGTTGCTTCAACGACACAGAAGAAAAAAAATTCCCATCGTATCGTGATTGGTGAGGAAAAGCGAATACGCTACTATAATCTGAAGCTCTAAAAATCATGATTCAGGGGCAAACGAACCATCAAAATTGACGGCAAAGTAGAATATTCATGGCGCCAAGCTCATGCTCTGTATTTGGTGGGATAAGCTGGGTGTAGTGTATTACGGGATGCTCCAACCCAATTAAACCATCACTGAAGAACGCTGTCAACAATTGAAGCAATTGAGCAGAGCACTGAAGCAAAAACGGCCAGATTATACAAAAAGATACGAAAAGGTGATTTTCCAGCATGGCAGCGCTCGGCATCATGTCGCGAAACCGCTCAAGGAAGCGTTAGAATAGCTTAACTGGGATGTCCTGCCACACCCGCTGTATTCTGCATATGTTGCTCTTTTCGATTACCCTTATTTCGACCCCATCGGGGGGACACCGCAAACATGCGGATGAGAGGCTGCCGTATAAGTCAGCTGGCTCTCGTCAATCCGATGGAACATTACTGCGGTGTGGCTCTTAGGGCCCACTCCGATGACAGGTCGTACCACGGAAAGATGGGGGGGGGTTGCTGCATGGGCACCTTGAAATGAGGGCTATTGTGCAGGAACCTCATCGCCTGACGCTGTCGTGGTGGCCGGTCATTCAAATGTACCCGTATGCCCAGTAGCAGGTCGGGGTGATGACTTAGTGTGATTACCCTTACTTCGATGGATGACTCATGGCTTGTCTGAGCACCACCTCCGACTCCACATCTCGCGTTTGGGCACTTCCTCCTTTACCTCCGGCCCTGGTGTTGGTTAGAAGTTATTGGTACCCCTTGTGGGTTATAGATACTATTGATATGTCTCACAATGTTTTAACATTGTTTTATCTGTTGGTCCTTCGTTTTATTGCATCATCTCTCCATATACCATTTTGTACAAAGTTTTACTCTTCACTTCACTTTTCCACAACACATATTTTTAACTCTCCTTTTTAGATTTCACTTTGCCATCAACCAGACTCCACCTTGACCAGTTTGTATAAAATTATAATTATTTTCATATATTTTGCTGCTTCTCTTGCAATGTTTTACTCTCTGCCCTGCTCTGGGCATAGTTTGTAATATTTTTATTCAAAACTATGTTTTAATTTCTGCCCCTGTTACAGGGCAATGAATTGTAATGCTCAATTTGACTCAATAAATCCTGCCCGTGGGGCCGGGGCGCGCTGTTCCTTCGGCGTGCTTGGGGGTCCCCTCTCCCCGCCGGCCCTAAACCCTATGGGTGGGCAGGATCGGCGAGGGTATGTAGTTGTAGTGGCTTGTCTGAGCAACACCTCCATTCTTATGTGGATATAAAAAAAAGTCGATTCGTGGATAGACTCTAAAAATTCAAAAAGGAATTCTTTCTATGTGGAATCCAAGTATTACCAGAAGAATGGGAAAAAGTAGTAACAAGCGATGAACTATATTTTGAATTATCGATGTGTAACCATTTTTTTACTATAAATCCGTGTTTTTGCAAAAAAATCCCTTAAAATTAATTCTCGCACCTAATATATACTGGGAAGGGACACGATTAATTTTCTTCCAGTTTATAATTAATTTTGCAGCAAAACGATAAATTTATCTTTTCCTTTACAAAAAGAAATAAATAAAAAAAATTTAGAGTGTTTCCCACCTCGATTTCCCTCATTGTTCCACGTAAACAAGAAATAGTCGATGGATTGCTTATTATGATACAATAGTGAAGAAGGTGGCTAGTTATAAAATCTGCCTCTTCCCGTTAACATATATTGATTCAAATCTAAAATTTTGGTGTTAAGTCCTCACGCTGAATTTTTTTTTTTTGTAATGGCGTTCCAAAACACACACATAGGCAGAACGACACCCCATGCCCCTGTGCCTGATTCCATTACGACAACCGAACCGGTTGGATGGACATGGGACAAAAGGTTAGCGAGCCAGTACTCTACCGACCATGCTATTCGCGCTTCAAAAGATGCCAATAGCACTCGGTGTTCCCAGGTGGTCACCCTCCCAAGTGCTGGGCTCACCCGATGCTGTTTAGCTGCGGTGATCAGACGAGAACCGTTGCTTTAAGAATGGTATGGTATGGCCGTTGGCGACACAAATAGACAGACAGATAAACAGTCTTTTAAAACTTTGAAAGACTTGGGTCCAAAATACAATATTCGTATCTACAATATTCGTATGAAGACTACATGTCAAATTGTGTTTGTTTAGTTTGTTGCGTTTCTGAGATATGGTTTTCCCATAAACACGGAGAGGCTGGCAGGCAATCTTCACCTTTGATAGAGGTCTACAATTTTTATGTGAAGTCTACAAGCCGAATTACATCTATACACCTTGCTCAGTTTTTAATTATCGTAATCGCCAAAAGATGAACAGACATAACTCAAAAATTGGTTTTTTCCAACTCAGGAAGGTCTAAAGCCGGAAAATTTATCAAATTCTCGAGTTCAACTTTTTAACAATTACAATACTTTCTCTTTTTATAGTTCATATACTCCAAAGTAACCGAGAGAGAGAGAGAGAAACGACTGATGAGAGCATTGCGATCATGAAATAAAGATATCACCCACCAAGAAACTCACCCTTTCAAGCCCGCTTCATTATTTAAGAGCACGCTTAAATAACCTCAACGCAACCGTAACTGTCATTCCACGGAATAGAACGAAAAGGAAACAAACGATTAGCTACTGGGGAATAGGGAGGGAGGAAATCTCTCCATTCGGTGGAGGGGACACCCCTCCGGCGAACAAGATCACCAATTCCTGCTGATCCATGTCCACGGTCTCATTTTATAAGAGGCCGGCATTATTTAAATGTTAAGAGACGCGAGAGATCTTCGGGGAGCGGAAATCTGTGTTCCAAACTGTGGTCGTCGCGAGGGCCGATTCGGAATCGCCGGTTCCTGGAAATGGTGATTGAGTCATCGGTTGAGATTAAGAGAAGCATCGATTGGCCGTGACTCCGCATTTATTGTACGGTCCGGTCGGAAGAGGGGAATTCTAAAGCAGATTGTTGTTGTGTTAATAGAATACGTTAATGAACTGAACCGTAAATGTGCATATGTAAGTAAAATGAGCAGCGATCAAATTTGTTCCGAATGAAATTACCCGGAACTTAACTGCGTTGTTTGGTTGGATGGATATATCACGCAATTCTCGGTTTCTCCATTTATTTCTTTTAATAAATGGTTTTGTAATTTGCTTCCAGATGCTTAGTGCTTTATTTATTATCATTGCTTATTTTTAGGATGGTTTTGGGATAAGACGGTAAACATTTCAAATTACCATTTATCATATTTTGAAGATATTCTACGATCTTTCATAAAGGGCTGCGGTGGCCAAGTGGTAAGTTCTTGGCTTCGTTGCTGGAGGGTTTGAGGTTCGAAACCTGATTCCACTGAAGATCCGCAGTTTATGTGGGATAAATCAGATGTAGAGGGTGAAACGTCCTCCCGCTGATGTGGTGTGGATATTTGGAGAGGGGTGTGCCAGCTGAGGTGTCCGCCTCTTCATCTTTAAAATCATGAGGTTCCGTCCCAAAATAGCCCTAGTGTTGTTTCCAAACTAACTTAAACTAAACGATATTTCACGAAGACCAAATATATTTTGAGTGTCTCATATAGCAGTGGGGCAATTCATGATCAAGGGACGTAACTTCAACTGAACGGTATGTGCATCTTGCAAGTAGGAAGAGAACGTTTCTTCATATAACTCAGCTCAGTTACGTTTGTCATGTGACTGTGACGTCATATAAATTATCCTCTTCAAATAAGATTAAACTAATTGCGATGGTTTTTGCAGAACAGAAAAAAACGTATTCTTTACTTTAACACCACACCGCCGTCTCTAGAGCTTATGTGGCTCCTATCCGGGTTGATATAGATGTAGGTGGAGTTTATTGAGTTGCAAAAAAAAGTACAGCAAGAGAAGAATGACAAATGAAGAAATTACAAAGCTGGTGTTTACACATAGAATTGACAACAAAATAAAGGAATATATACAATATCTTAAATAACACAGGGTGAATGAAGGAAAAATGATGAATGTAGATGATGTCGAACAACATGAGGTAACTTACATCAATGCACAGGTTTTTGAGTAACGTATTAGAGATGGGTAGCCATTGCGTGTTAATTGTGGAATATAAGGAATAGGAAGATTACTATTAAAGATTTATAAGAAAGGGAGGACTTAGTATATTCAGTGTATTGAATGCAGTGTGGCGGCATCTAGCAACATCCTGAATTGCGTTTTTATGCAGATCGGATCCGCCCTCTTTGATGTCGCCAATCAACCAATAGCGTCGAGCACGTTGCTGTATATAAGCACTGATTGTTACTGTTCATTCTCTGCTTTGCTTTGCTCTTCCTTGTTTGTATTATTTGATTAGCTATATAATGATTTTATGATTTAGTATATTTTAATTTAATTGTTTCATTAAATTTGTTATTTTATTAACGAGTAGTCTTGATTCGACTTCGTCACCAGTCACAAGCGATGTAATACTTCTGATTTTAGTGAATACAGGTATGATAGATCGGAAGCCGAGTTAGACAGTATCGTGCAGGTTAACATGTCGCACTTGATCGTCAATAGTTGTATGTGCCGACTGCCTCAGCATCTACATAAATAAATCTCGTTTCTATCAATCATGGAGAAGTTAACTTGACCTAGACATAGGCCCCCTAAAAGTTACAGCAGGATAAGCTAGAGTAATTGTACAAAGGCAGGTGAGTACTTCTTACAGTCGCCTTATGTTTTCATTGCCTATTATGAATTTAATCATGTTTATTATTCTTTTTCTTGAATTCGGATTCCCCAGTACCACAGACTTTCCAGTGAAGTAGAAGGCTTCCTAATACGCCAAGAGAGAGTCAATGCGCAAGATATCGCATAGTGGATGGGATCGCCTTCTCCGCAGGCACAATAGTCACTTAAGCTTAATGTTGATAAAGTTTAGAAAGAAAGTTTATGTTGCCTAAACTTAAAGACTGAATGTTTGTTTCTATCTGATGCCAATAAATCTGAATTATGGAATCTTTGTTAGATATCAAATGTTATATTATCTTACTCAATATTTAAAAAAGTACAAAGTTACTTCCAGAGAAGTTTTAAATATTAACACTAATTCTGTAAAAATTGTTAGCAAGTTTATTCTAATTTTATTTATTGAAAATAGCATAAAATTGTTTTCGAACTACAAAAACGAGAGCACAAAAATGTTAGAACTTAATGAACTTTTTGTGACTTAAAGAAAAAAGTTAACAACAACAATCGTGTAACTAGATATTTCATTACTTCATGTATACAGGAAATCACATACGTTTTCCGTTACTAAGAGTGGTAAAGTAAAAATAAGAATAATGAGTTTGACATTTTTGGAATAGCGTCGCCAGGAACAATGATTATTCTCTTCTTATCGCTCAATCAGTCACTGAGAAGCATAATGGCTCGCCTTGTTCTGCATCTGTCCAATTATTAAACTCAATTACAATGTGGCTAATGTTGAGAGGGTCGTTTCGATTATTGTAGACTGGTGGTGATCCATTCAGGAATGGAAGCCTTAAATGCGAGAAATGCTTGTCAGTGAAAACAATTTACGAAGATGAGTCTAGATATTGATGTGACGAAGAGGACGGACACGGTAAGCAACTGCAAGTTTTGTTACTGTGTTTATCTATTTGTTACCCTGGATATCGACATGATCTGAAACAGAATTTCAATTCCTCCTCAATGCAAATTGTAATGTTCAATTTGATGTCCTGGACAAACTGATGTAATGACTCCCACTATACGTAGATTTTAGCGGACTTAAAGAGTTGGAATAAGCAATAGCTTCTTGGAATTCTTTTTCAAAGGTAAAGTAAGTCTGGGAAATGAAAACATAATTGCATAATTAATTGAATGAAAGAAATAATGCAAATGAAATGAGAGATAAAGCTGTCAAAACTGAAAACTGAAACGATATCAAGAAGACTGCTACTTACAACATTATTCTAACAAACAAATACGCAACAAACGTGAGTAAATCTTGAATTAAAGAGTTATGGGATTTGAAGCAACAACGTTCGTTCCAAACAGAAGATTCCATAAGAATGATTAGATCATTCCATAAACAGTGTATCAATCTTTCCATACGAAAGAAATTCGAATTTTATGGTCTTGGACTGCGAAAAAGACACAGTAGAGCAACAAAGGTTCAGAATCGCTGGATGCCAAAAGGATGCGGCTAAAACATAAGTATTAGACTTAAATCTAACTATATAGATGTATTGGTAAACAATGTAAAAGTATATAGACAAAACAAAAATGGGTTTTTAATATTATTCTGATTTGGACAGATTTCTAAAAGAACTGAGAAAAGAGAAATTGCTGATATTCCCCTCCGGGAATGAAATACGACAAAGGTCTTAGCACAAAAGTCGAATGCTACAGTAACTCGTGACACATGTTCAAAACATAGCTGAGCTTTTCCATTTAAATGGAAAAAATTCCAAACACTCGTGTCATTAATCTTTAATTGAGGTGTTTCACCACTCACGTCTTGATGGTCAAGGTCTGATAAATGACACACACCGTAACAAGTTCTTTCCTCCTGGCGAAATTTTGCACGCTTTTTGTGGTCTGTTGACACGCGAGTTTTCAAGCATTCTCAAATGCAAATGAGTCCCTCTGTCACGATAAGGGACCCTGCTGAATAAAATTCATCGGGTGCAACAGGCAGACTGTTACAATGTAGAACCAATACGATTTTCGATTCTTTCACTTGCAAAATAGTGAACGAGTGAGAGAATTCTCAGTTGGGAATTCGACCAATACAGCTTCACTTTTTTGTATTCTTCTGAAACGGAATAACACTTAAATTTAACGCTATTTTCGCTTTTCAGGAAACAAAGTTGCATGAAGGAGAAAAAAAACGATTTCCAAAACTGAGTTTTTCTTGAAACTACTATTGAGCAAATATTACTGTCAGGTACTGAAGAGGAATTTTCTTGCTAGGATTCGTTGTTCTAAAAATTAATAATTAATTGATGTTTTCATTTTTTTATTGCCCACGCCGACCCTGCTTATCCAAAGGG